ACAAGCCGGGTAGAGAGATGTACCTAGCAGACACCCTGTCGCGAGCATACTTACCGAACTCCGAGCAATCGCCGACAGAGAAAGAAGTTGAAAGCATTCACATGCTTGAGGACATAGCGGTGTCGCAGAAGACGTTAGCGCTCATCAGGATTGAAACGCAACAGGATGAAAGCCTACAAGCGGTAAAGGGACTGATCCTTGAGGGGTGGCCCGAAGACAAGTCTCGTCTGCCACCTGGGACTTCTCCATACTTTGACATCCGTGATGAACTAACGTATGATGAGGGTATAATCTTCCGCGGACAGCGTTGTGTAATTCCTGTCAAAGTGAGACCTCGTGTGAAACAGCGACTTCATAGCGCACACACAGGAATACAGGCCACACTCGCAAGGGCCAGAGAATGTGTATTTTGGCCAGGGATGACAAGCGATCTTACAGACTATCTCTCACACTGTGAAGTCTGTGCAACCTTTGCTCCGAAGCAAAGAAGTGAACCTCTGATCAATCATGACTTGCCGAAACGTCCGTGGCAGAAACTCGGTATAGACTTATTCGAGTTGAACAACAAGAACTATGTTTGTGTTGTGGACTATTTCTCAGACTACTTCGAAGTTCTTCCTCTGCCACACAAGAAAGATACCAGAGCAGTCGTCAGGCGACTAAAGAGCATTTTCGCATGTCACGGTATCCCAGAAACCATTATGTCGGACAATGGTCCCCCATTTAACTCTCAAGATTTCGCGACCTTCATGCAGGAGTATGAGATTGAGCACATCACGAGTTCCCCATATTATCCCAAGAGCAATGGGAAAGCGGAGAGTGCCGTCAAGATTGCGAAGGGTCTCTTACGTAAGACAACTGAAGCTCAAGAAGATTTTCAGCTAGCTCTTCTAAATTGGCGTAACACACCCACAGCAGGACTTGATAGCTCGCCAGCTCAACGCCTGTATGGTCGTCGCACTCGCACTCTTGTACCAACCGCGTCCAAGCTTCTGATTCCACGCACACAAAATAGAGTTGTCGCAAAGAAAGCGGAAAAGCAGAAGAAGCAAAAGCAGTACTACGATAAGAGCACGAAAGAGCTACCACCATTGAAACGCGGAGATATTGTTCGTGTTCAGCCGCAGTCTAACGCACAGAGTAAGCGATGGCACAAAGCGAGAGTAGAGAAACAAGTTGATTCCAGATCATATCTAGTCAGGTCAGAGAATGGCAATATAGTTCGACGAAACAGGAAGCACTTGCGCACATGTAGTAGCACATTCAGTGACCAGTCAGATATATTCTCCACGCCTACTAGCGTAACTCGCGAACAACCAGAGCCATCAACATCCGAAGCGAAGCGTAGCGACACAAATTCACCAGATCACGTAGCGAAGTCTCCTCGTCGCGAAGCAAATAATGATATTCGCGAACCCCAGCTCGCTGAAGAGACTCAAGAACCACCAAGACCAGCTCGCCGTAGTACCAGAGCTCGCCATCCACCAGCTCACATGAAAGATTTTGTTGTTTATCATTAAATAAACATTATGTGTAACTACTTTATATAGATGTAAACAGACAACTATATATTTGTTTCATTAAGAGAAAGTTAATTGTTTATACAGGAAAGTCACCTGTTAATTAACAAGAAAGAAAGTTAGTATGTTGTTTATATTGATTGGTTGATGTTGTTTAGACAAATCAAAACAAAAGTATTTGATTTTGGATCTATTTGAAATTTGATGAAGATGATACATAATCTAAGCCAGTGTTCCAAAGGACTAATCGAGAGAAAAACAGAATTTAAGCTCATATGTATTGTCTCAAAAGAACAACAAAACCACTCAAGTGTAATTATGCATCCATGCTGAAGTTGATTTATTATGCTACTATTTCTATAAACACAGATATTTCCAGAGGATTTATAATTAGATTTATGTGTACTGACATGGGCATTCATACATGCATTTCAGGCCGACAAACTAATATACAGGTATTAACTTCTTAAAGAAGGAAGGATGTTATATATGGTTTAGAGTGGCAGTGCGCCCTCTTGTGTTATGTACTGACTTGACAACCAGAATGAAGATTACTAGAATAAAGCACTAACCAGTTGAAGTTGTAAACTTTAAACAGACTTTATTGCCTATTATGTAGAGTCAAACAAAAGCATAAAACAAATAACTTAAGAACTTCATGTTAAATTGAAAGATTTATAAAATAAGTCACTTTTGCACTAAAACTGTGAATATGTAGGATTTTGCTGTTTGAAGGAGTAAATTTATACCCTAGTTGTGCTTACCGGAATTAAATATTTTACTGAGGTATTCCTCAATGTATTACAGTTCAACTGGTCAAGAAGAGAATTGAAGAAAAATAAATCACAAAAAATGAGTTTTGGCGCAATTTGGTTCCTCCCTGGCTCACTGTGCGTTGCCATGGTTACGCGGACGAGCGTTGGATCGGCTGTGCGTAAATGTAACAGTGTACTATGTGTACCGATTATGCCTAATAATAATCGATGGACGTGGGGAGGAAAAGCGCCTGCACATGCAGTGTTGCAAATTCTGGCAAAAAGAAATACCATAAATGGAAAGCTTAGGTTTCGGCGGACATTTTGAGATTAACACCACTGCGGGAATCGGCCGGAATCCTAATAAACATGCTACTTTTATTTAAAAAATGCAATTTTTTCCTTTTTTGGTGAAATCTAATGCTCATTTTTCCCAAAATGAAGCTTCCATAAATTTGGTCATTGTATTTTCTAATTGGGTTACCAATAGGCAAGAAGTGCACGCAGTATCAAGTTGATTGCTTTTCCCTTCATAAATTCTCAACACCTATTGTAAAGTTGCCTCTTTTATCATTTTTGGAGCATCATATAGATTTCCCCATGTTCGCAGGGGTATATGACACTTTTAAAACTCGCTAAATATTAAAATATGGGTGGAAAAATATTCTTTAGAATGTTTTCTTCCCAAAGCGAATGAAAAAAATATTAAAATTCACATTCGCCAATTTTGAATTTTGTCACACTTTGAGGCGATTCTGGCCCACTGTGGGGCGGGGGAAACTGAATTAAGACAAGGATTAAGAGTCGAGAATGGTACAACGAATCGTCTTCTTTCACTAATAATTAATGAAACGTCAAAGCTTCAGCGAATCGCTCGGGAGGGGGAAAACTGAATTCAAACAAGGATTAAGAGACGAGAATGGTAAAACGATTCGTCTTCCACCTTTAATAATTTAATGAACCGTCAAAGCTTCAGCGAATCGCGCGGGCACGGGAAAACTGAATTCAGACAAGGATTAAGAGTCGAGAATCGTTCAAAGAATCGTCTCCTTTCCCTATATAATAATTTAATGAAACATCAAAGCTTCCGCGCTTTGCGCGGGAGGGGAGGGGGAGAGGAAGGGGGGGAGGGGGCGGGAACTCAATTAAGACAAGGATTAAGAGTCGAGAACGGTACAACGAATCGTCTTCTTTCTCTAATAATTTAATGAAACGTCGGGGCTTCCGCGCTTTGCGCGGGAGGGGGGGGGGGGGAACTCAATTCAGACAAGGATTAAGAGTCGAGAACGTTAGAACGACATCATCTTCTTTCTCTAATAATTCAATGCAACATTAAGTTTCCGCGCAAAGCGCAGGAGGGGGGAACTGAATTCAGACAAGGATTAAGAGTCGAGAATGGAACAACGAATAATCTTCTTTCTCTAATAATTTCATTAAACTATGAAAAGCCGAAGCTTCCGTGCTTTGCGCGGGGAGGGGGGGGGGGGGGGGGGGCTAAATTCAGTCAAGTAATAAGAGTCGAGAATAGTACAACAAATCTCCTTTCTCCAATAATTAATGAAAGGGCAAAGCTTCCACGCTTCGCGCGGGCGGGAGGAAACTGAATTAAGACAAGGATTAAGAGTCGAGAATGGTACAACGAATCGTCTTCTTTCTCTAATAATTTAGTGAAAGGTCAAAGCTTCCACGCTTCGTGCGAGAGGGGGGGGGGGGGGGACCTGCATTCAAACAAGGATTAAGAGTCTAGAATGTTACAACGAATCGTCTTCTTTCTCTAATAATTTAATGAAAGGTCAAAGCTTCTGCGCTTCGCGCGGGAGCGGAAAAACTGAATTCAGAGAAGGATTTAGAGTCGAGAATGGAACAACGAATCATCTTTTTTCTCTAATAATTTCATTGAACTATAAAAGGTCAAAGCTTCCGCGCTTTGCGCGGGAGGGGGAAAACTGAATTCAGGCAAGGAATACGAGTCGAGAACGGTACAACAAATCGTCTTCTTTCGATGAAAGGTCAAAGCTTCCGCGGGCAAGAGGCTATAGCCCCCCCCCCCCCGGAAAATGTCAAAAATTGTACCGGTATGGTGCTTCTAATATGACGGTCTGCGCAAATTTCAAATTTCCGCCCCCCCCCCCCCTATTGGAAAATTCTGGATCCGCGCCTGTATATATCTCTATGGTATGATCGAATCTCTTTTTTTTACGCAGGACCAACGAACTCAAACTTGGATTTCGATCCCGGATTTCGATTTTATATCCCCAGGGGGGTGTTTCATAAGAGTTCGTATAAAGTTACGCATGACTTTACGAACGACTTGTATATGAAGTGCCAGAGAGGATGCCCAAAGTTTTTTTTCGGATAGACCTATATCCAATAACCTCAATTAAATTATTGCAAAAAATATACTTGCATTGAAAATATTTGTTATATAAGAATTTTAATCTACATCTGCATAGTAATAATCAAGAATGATTGAGCATCCCATTTGGCTTTTCATATACAAGTCGTTCCATCGATCCGTGATTCAAAATTCGCGCACGTTTACTTGACATGGCTTGGAGTGATAGACCAAGGGCGGTGGATGCGCTGCTCATCCAAATTCTCCGGAGGGGGGAAAAAGGAATTTCCCAATTCGATCACGTGTTGTAGCGTACCGTTTTTACGTTACGTACGAAATCGAAAGTCAGGAACAGCGAACCAAATCTGAGTGAGCTGATTCGATCTCTTTTGACTTATCTCTTTATTGAAGCAGGTCGAAGGATTTCTTTGCTCCGGCAAGATTCGCAATTCTGAAATCCAAAGCTATTTTCAACTTCAAGCGTAGACTAACGTTAGATCTACTTCAAGGGAGCTTTTCATCGGTCGTAAGGTAGGAAACCTTTTGCTTGTGTTTAATCATGATTTCTATTAGATCTAGACCGAATTTTCCGTCTCTTTCGTTCGTTAGCCTCTTACTTTGGGGTAGGGTCGGCCGGCTCTCTCTTTAGAGACGGAAACTGTCTATACACATTCCCTTGATATAACGCCACGGCCATTTCAGGTCGTAGCGTTTTGCCCCCAAAATCCCCCAAAATGTCATTTTACCTCGTGTAGAGTCTATATCCAAATGTAAATTAGGCCTAGGCTATAATACATCGGTTCCACTTACTAACTTGATTGAAATAAATCCGTCTAATGGTCCCTTTTAAGGAAATTATGGGTCAAAATCGACATCCATGTTGAAAATCTTGCAAGCCGGGCCAATGCCCGGGCGTAAGGCTTCTACACCTACGATTTGTGCGCTCGTCGCCCACTTCAAAAAATTAGCAGAGGGAAAAAAAATATGTAAAATAAAAATTGATGAAAATAAGAAAAGAAAATACAATTATACATTTCATAACATACCTTTAATCACAGATCTGTAACAGTCTTTCACCATTTGTTGACGATCTTGCAGATTTTGATGTATTTGAATACAATAATTGGGCTAGCAGTAACTCCGGGAAGCGCAATTTTTTTTTACACGCTAGCCTGGCCATTTCTATGATAAACACCATGGAAACGACTAATATTAGTCAAGCAGCCTACATGGGAGGTGCATGATGATACACATGTACATCATGCATGACAATCATCAGATAAAGACATAGTGGCCCTTGTAAATGAGACGGCCATCGCAGCCATCGGGCGATTGAATTCAAAAACTTAATTTATTTTAATTTGATTTAGGAACTATCTTGATCTAAGGAGACACGAACGAACGAACGTTCAGCTAGAGAGAAACCAAGTTAAACTGCGGTAGTGCATGCCTGTATGTAGGCTTTACCACCAGCGCACTTTTACGAGTAGATCTATTACCGTGAAACTGGCCAGGCTAGCGTGTAAAAAAAATATTCGCCTCCGGGAAGCTCCAACACCGGCGCAGCAGGCGTCGGAGCTTCGGGTGGTTTCGTTATTTCCTCGTGAGGGCTAGTAAAACAGCCGATTGGGTGATATTATCGTTAAATCTACAAAGGGAGTACTTACAATTTTTACATCATTGTGTGCAAGACTCCTCAGGGCTCAACTCCAATCACTTGAATGTATAATTTGAAGAAGTCTTTGATGGGAAAAAAAGGTTAATTCGGGGTACTACACCAACGATTCTTCCATGTCGCAGCGTTGATTCAAAATAGCGATGAGAAGGTACGCATGCGCGGCAGTGGCAAAGAAAATATGCTATCGAGCGCCGATCGCTCGAAATCGCTGAATATGCACGAGGCCGATCGCTCAAAATCGCTGAATATGCACGAGGTTGAGAAGGGCTCTGTATATTCAGCGATTTAGTACTTACATTTAGTACTACATTTTTTGTGCCCTATAAAGACCCTGGGTTGGATTATTTAGGAGAACAGAAGGTTGATATTGTTAAGTTGTTTCATAACATCACTCAGTTTGATTTGATTCGAGATATATCTCATTAATAAAACAGTATAAAGGCTGTATGAGTCTCGAACGAACCATCGCCACTAATCTTGGTGCCAACACCGTTAATCTATGCTCCAAATTTAGTACCTTTTTTGTGCCCTATAGGCTAAAGACCCAGGGTTGGATTATTTAGGAGAACAGAAGATTGATATTGTTAAGTTGTTCCATAACATCTCTCGGTTTGATTTGATTCGAGATATATCTCATTAATAAAACAGTATAAAGGCTGTATGAGTCTCGAACGAACCATCGCCACTAATCTTGGTGCCAACACCGTTAATCTATGCTCCAAATTTAGTACTACCTTTTGTGTGCCCTATAAAGACCTGGGGTTGGATTATTTAGGAGAACAGAAGATTGATATTGTTAAGTTGTCAGTTTGATTTGATTCGAGATATATCTCATTAATAAAACGGTATAAAGGCTGTATGAGTCTCGAACGAACCATCGCCACTAATCTTGGTGCCAATACCGTTAAACCATGCTCCAAATTTAGTAATACATTTTATGTGCCCTATAAAGACCCGGGGTTGGATTATTTAGGAGAACAGAAGATTGATATTGTTAAGTTGTTTCATAACATCACTCAGTTTGATTTGATTCGAGATATATCTCATTGATAAAACAGTATAAAGGCTGTATGAGTCTCGAACGAACCATCGCCACTAATCTTGGTGCCAACACCGTTAAACCATGCTCCAAATTTAGTAGTACATTTTGTGTGCCCTATATAGACCCGGGGTTGGATTATTTAGGAGAACGGAAGATTGATATTGTTTAGTTGTTCCATAACATTACTCAGTGCGATTTGTTTCGAGATCTACCTCATTAATAAATCAGTTTAAAGGCTGTATGAGTCTCGAACGAAGCATCGCCACTAAACTTGGTGCCAACACCGTTAATCTATGCTCCAAATTTAGTACCTTTTTTGTGCCCTATAGGCTAAAGACCCAGGGTTGGATTATTTAGGAGAACAGAAGATTGATATTGTTAAGTTGTTCCATAACATCTCTCAGTTTGATTTGATTCGAGATATATCTCATTAATAAAACAGTATAAAGGCTGTATGAGTCTCGAACGAACCATCGCCACTAATCTTGGTGCCAACACCGTTAATCTATGCTCCAAATTTAGTACTACCTTTTGTGTGCCCTATAAAGACCCGGGGTTGGATTATTTAGGAGAACAGAAGATTGATATTGTTAAGTTGTTTCATAATATCACTCAGTTTGATTTGATTCGAGATATATCTCATTAATAAAACAGTATAAAGGCTGTATGAGTCTCGAACGAACCATCGCCACTAATCTTGGTGCCAACACCGTTAATCTATGCTCCAAATTTACATTTTGTGTGCCCTATAATGACCCGGGGTTAGATTATTTAGGAGAACAGAAGATTGATATTGTTAAGTTGTTTCATAACATCTCTCAGTTTGATTTGATTCGAGATATATCTCATTGATAAAACAGTATAAAGGCTGTATGAGTCTCGAACGAACCATCGCCACTAAACTTGGTGCCAACACCGTTAAACCATGCTCCAAATTTAGTAGTACATTTTGTGTGCCCTATATAGACCCGGGGTTGGATTATTTAGGAGAACGGAAGATTGATATTGTTTAGTTGTTCCATAACATTACTCAGTGCGATTTGTTTCGAGATCCACCTCATTAATAAAACAGTATAAAGGCTGTATGAGTCTCGAACGAACCATCGCCACTAATCTTGGTGCCAACACCGTTAATCTATGCTCCAAATTTAGTACTACCTTTTGTGTGCCCTATAAAGACCTGGGGTTGGATTATTTAGGAGAACAGAAGATTGATATTGTTAAGTTGTCAGTTTGATTTGATTCGAGATATATCTCATTAATAAAACGGTATAAAGGCTGTATGAGTCTCGAACGAACCATCGCCACTAATCTTGGTGCCAATACCGTTAAACCATGCTCCAAATTTAGTAATACATTTTATGTGCCCTATAAAGACCCGGGGTTGGATTATTTAGGAGAACAGAAGATTGATATTGTTGTTGTTTCATAACATCACTCAGTTTGATTTGATTCGAGATATATCTCATTGATAAAACAGTATAAAGGCTGTATGAGTCTCGAACGAACCATCGCCACTAATCTTGGTGCCAACACCGTTAAACCATGCTCCAAATTTAGTAGTACATTTTGTGTGCCCTATATAGACCCGGGGTTGGATTATTTAGGAGAACGGAAGATTGATATTGTTTAGTTGTTCCATAACATTACTCAGTGCGATTTGTTTCGAGATCTACCTCATTAATAAATCAGTTTAAAGGCTGTATGAGTCTCGAATGAAGCATCGCCACTAAACTTGGTGCCAACACCGTTAATCTATGCTCCAAATTTAGTACCTTTTTTGTGCCCTATAGGCTAAAGACCCAGGGTTGGATTATTTAGGAGAACAGAAGATTGATATTGTTAAGTTGTTCCATAACATCTCTCAGTTTGATTTGATTCGAGATATATCTCATTAATAAAACAGTATAAAGGCTGTATGAGTCTCGAACGAACCATCGCCACTAATCTTGGTGCCAACACCGTTAATCTATGCTCCAAATTTAGTACTACCTTTTGTGTGCCCTATAAAGACCCGGGGTTGGATTATTTAGGAGAACAGAAGATTGATATTGTTAAGTTGTTTCATAATATCACTCAGTTTGATTTGATTCGAGATATATCTCATTAATAAAACAGTATAAAGGCTGTATGAGTCTCGAACGAACCATCGCCACTAATCTTGGTGCCAACACCGTTAATCTATGCTCCAAATTTACATTTTGTGTGCCCTATAATGACCCGGGGTTAGATTATTTAGGAGAACAGAAGATTGATATTGTTAAGTTGTTTCATAACATCTCTCAGTTTGATTTGATTCGAGATATATCTCATTGATAAAACAGTATAAAGGCTGTATGAGTCTCGAACGAACCATCGCCACTAAACTTGGTGCCAACACCGTTAAACCATGCTCCAAATTTAGTAGTACATTTTGTGTGCCCTATATAGACCCGGGGTTGGATTATTTAGGAGAACGGAAGATTGATATTGTTTAGTTGTTCCATAACATTACTCAGTGCGATTTGTTTCGAGATCTACCTCATTAATAAATCAGTTTAAAGGCTGTATGAGTCTCGAACGAAGCATCGCCACTAAACTTGGTGCCAACACCGTTAAACTATGCTCAAAATTTAGTAATACATTTTGTATGCCCTATAAAGACCCGGGGCGGGATTGTGTAGGAGAACGGATGATTGATATTGTAAAGTTGTTCCATAACATCACTCAGTTCGATTTAATTAGAGATATATCTCATTAATAATATATATATATATAAAAAGCTATAGTCTCAAACTAACTTACCTGTACACCATTAAACTTGGTGCCAAC